TTATAATATATATATTTATTTATAATTTGGAGGCAGCAGAGCTGGAGCTGCAGCACGCAGGCAGCGGGGTCATATCTCGGAGACCTGCTCGTGCCCCACGAAGAGGCTCTCCTGGCAGAAGGGGTTCACCAGGACCATGCCGCTCTCCCGGTAGTCCCCGTTGGCCGGGGAGCGCGGCTCCGAGAGGTGGTCCTGGGGGGAGACAGAGAAGCAGGGTGAGCACTCCCACCCCTCGCCCTGGGCCCTGCACCTGCGGGACGGACCGCTGCTTTCAGCGCTGCTCCCAGCCCCCTAGAAGGGCCTGACTCCCAGAGCTGAGCTTGGTGAGCCGGTTTTACCCTTCTTCGGGCCACAGGAGCTGTGAGTGACGAGCTCCTCGGACAGTCAGGCTGATCCTCCCTCAGTCTGGGGACTCAGAGGTCAGATGAACCAAACTTCAGGTCCCTTAGCAGAATCTGAGCTTTCATAGGATCATAGAATCAGGATCATAGGGGTTGGAAGGGACCTCAAAAGATCATCCAGTCCAACCCCCCTGCCAGAGCAGGGTCACCCAGAGTACATCACACAGGCAGGCGTCCAGGTGGGTTTTGAATGACTCCAGTGCAGGAGACTCCACAACCTCTCTGGGCAGCCTGTTCCAGTGCTCCGGCACCCTCACAGGAAAAAAATGTTTCCTGATATTCACCTTGAACCTCCTATGCTCCAATTTGCACCCATTACCCCTTGTCCTATCACAGGTCATCACTGAAAAAAGCTTAATCCCATCTTCCTGACACTCACCCCTTACATATTTGTAAACATTGATGAGGTCACCCCTCAGTCTCCTTTTCTCTTCTTTATCTTTTTCAATGAGCCATTGCAACAGTTTCCTGCCCCTCAGCTGGGCTTGACTCCTCAGTGATGTGTTTTCAGCTTCTTTTCAAGCTACCCGGGCACGCCCCAGCAAAGTCATGTTCTGCTCAGGTTTCAGTGACTGAGATGACAACTTTTGGAGGCCATGCTCTATGTGAACAGACCCACCATTCGATTCTTTCTAAGTGCAGAGCAGGTCCTGCCTTAGCTTGAGCAACACAACTGCCCAAAGCGGGGTTAATAAAGCCACCGAGTGCTGGTCTAATCACATCTCAGAGGCTCCTTTCTAAACACTTTTTAAAAATTTTATTTCATGAGGCAAGTTATTCAGCCAGCTGATCTGAAAACCACTTCAGTATAAACCCCAACTCTGCACTGTTTCTATGTTTTAAATACCTTTGATCTAAGCCAAATTCTTCTCTCTCTCTGAGGCCCGGGAACATCTATCAGCAGGATCACCTGCGTGTATGAACAATCCCTGGATCCAGTCAGATCCCTTCAGTACAGGCTGAGGAGCACACACCACTGCTACATGCTCTTGTATACTGATGCTTTGACTGCTTATATACTGGGAACACTCACCCCCTGAACTGCTATTTGAGACCCTGTAGGCAGCTCCTAAGACACAAACGCACAAAATTTCTGGGCATTGTAATTCCCACTATCCCCCTGATCTGATGCTGTAGGACATGCACGACAAACAGGGCAGGACTGACCACCAGCAAGCAGCCAGCCCAAAGAGCTCCAGTTCCAGCCATACAGTAATTGCCAAGAAGGAACATCACTGCATACACAACCCTCTTTGTGTCCTGGTGGTGATGCTGTCCCCCCACCTCTGGGATCCCTGCTTGTAATGAAGTCAGGGAACCCTTCCAATAACTGAAAACCCCACATAGTGGCTGCACCACATACATAAGCTCCCCCTCCACTGCAAGCAGAGCCAGCCCTTCTGCTGTTCACTCCAGAGGCAGGGCACCTGATGTGAATTCTAAAGGCAGGGCACCTGGGGCTGACCTCCTAATTAGTTTTCACCCAAGGTTGGCCAGGCCTTGAGAGAAAACCACGAGGAAGATCCTTCCTGCCTGGTTGTGGACATCATCTATATGTCAACCCCAATCCAGGGCTTGGGGTTTGGACCCAAGCACTTCAGGATATCAAGGCTTTAACTTCAGGGCACTGCCCGGGCACTGCCCTCCCTCCCTCTCCCCTTCTCCCAGCACAGCTTCAGTCACAGCTTTCAGACAGGAGTTCTGCAGGTGAGGTACCTCTGAGGTCTCCAGGGACTGGATCTCCCTCGGTAACTCCACAGCATGCCTGTTGAAGTAGTCCATGGTGATGGCATTATTCCAGTAGCTCAGGTTGTTTTCTGGGTTAGATGTCTTTTTCTTCCTCCTCATGCAGCAGACTGTCAGCAGAACTGCTGTCGATAGAAACATGGCAAAAATGGGGTTATTTCCTTTCAGTAAGGACTCATCAGGACCACGGATTTGTTTTTTATGTTGCTCAAGGAGCAGGCTGGTGGCCTTCACTCATACCATTCCCCCAGTCAGATGGAGCTGTGTCCTAACAAACCCCCAGTTCAGTCAGAGCCTGGGCCAAGCCGATGAGGCTTTGGGCTTGGCAGAAGATGCAGTTCTTACTTTCTTTTTGATGTGAGTTTATAATCATCAAGCTGTGGCTGCCTGGCTGATGAAAAGCTTTGGTGCTGTAACTGCTGATACTTTAATACCTAAGCAGGGATTTCTGGACTCTGTAGGGCAGTGGGCACTGCCCGGGCACTGCCAAGGATGCCTCTGTGCAGACCTTGTCTGGTTCCATCACGCTCCGAGGCTGCAGAGGTGAGCACAGTAGCAAACGGGCAGCGAGAGATGCCTGTCCGAGGCTCAGGCACCATTTATAAACACACAGGGCTGGATGTCTTCAATTCCCAACGCCTCTGCCCTGAAAGGCCATGACCCCTGTCACCTCACACTCCTAACCTGGCTTCTGGGTCCTTGGTGACCATGCTCCAGGACATCAGGGACTGGCAAGGGGAACAGATGGGCTCCTGAGTGGGAGGAGGCTGCCAGGGCAGCGCCAACGCCAGCGCCAGGCTGGTGCTGCCTGCCTCTGTTGGCTGTACCAGGATGCCAGACCCCTGGAGAAGCACAGCCTGTTCCCATGCCTGCCTGGGCACTGCTGGTTTCTGAGCCTGGCCTGTTCTCCTGCCTCCAGAGCACACTTAAGCTTCTGCAGTCTGAAATACGTGAGCTTGAAGTCGAGCAGTTAGGCAGGAGGAGGGAAGCAGCCGCTGAGGCCTGTTGGCAGGATGGTCCGTGTGGTCTCAGGGCCACACCGCTGCCCGCAGAGATGCCAGGGTGTGGAGGCTGAACAGCAGGCAGAGTGCTGCTGCCTGGCACTGCTCCCTGTCCAGCCACCTCTGCTGCAGGCCAGATGGGCAACCTTGGCCACTTTATGACAGCCAGGCAGGCCGCTGCAAGGAGCTTCCTGGCTCCTGCCAGGCAGAGGCCGTGGCGTGTACCAGGGTCTGTCCTGAGGAGTCGGGGTGAGCTCTGTGCCTACCCTGTGCCTGTGGAACTCACTGAGCTGTCGTGCTGGTCCCCTGCCTGACCTACACAGACAGGCATCAGGACATGCACTTTGATTTGTACCTGTGAAACAGGGAACACCCTGCTGTAAATCCACTCCGTTATTTCTAAATCCCTCACGGAAGAAAAGAAGAGAGAAGATACTAATGAAGCAGAAAAATATATTCTTTTCTCAGCTACAGTCAAAATTATTTATAAGAGTTACAGCCCAGAGGAAAGAAAGGACTGCAGAGAGGTCAAAGCTGCTCTGTATGTTCTGACAAACACTGCAGCTACCCAGCGCCGCGGGTCTCATTTCTCATCCCATCTATTCCCATGAAATGGCAATACAAAAGTGCAAGGCTACAGCTCTATTTAAAACAAAAGAAGAAGCTACCAGGAAAAAGAAAATTAATGGGTCTGAGTCGAGGCAGTTGATGTCTCACTCGCAGGGGAAGGCGAGCTTACGCCGTGAATCTCCTCCCAGGACTAACGGAGACCCTCCGGTGCAGCCCCTGCCCGTGCCAGGAGCGCAGGGCACCAGCACACTCCCTGCTGGCTCCTCACCCTCCAGCCTGCCCATCGCCAGCAACTCACCTGCTGGCAGCACCACGCC